GATCCGTAACCCTACGTAGGATTTCACCGTAATGTTTCGTAAATCTTACGAACTCGTAAACTTACGTAGTTTTACAATGTAATACTCTGAAATATTACAAAAATCGTAAATCTACGGAATATTACGCCGCATTTAAATTCCAGATGCAGAGGGCTAGAAATAAAACTTAGACAATCTAATTCAGTCTGTTGAATTAATCATAATAACTTTATTACAAATACTTCTGTATGAAGACATGACAAAAGGTAATAGTAATTGAATAACAAATTTCTTTGTGGTTTATTCACAAAACCATATCTCGAGTTATAAGGATAAATACATGCTATTTATATAAAATAAACTAATAGTAATATAATATAATAAATATAACTAATATGATAAATATAATAAATAATTAATCTATCAAATATAACAAATTTAATAAAGCTAATAAAGTTAACAAATATTATAAATATGATTATCGGTCAAATATGACCAATCTGTCATATTTTTCAACTAAATCATATGATAACTGTACTCACAGGTCACAGCTTCAATACCACGTGAACTTTTGATGGCAGCAATCAATTCGCCCCAAAAAAATAAATAACATAATTTAATGAAAAGAAAGATAGTCTGAAGAAAAAAACGGATCATGTAATGTTAGCAGTTGAGGCTTTTTCAGATGAAATAAATTCAGATATAATAAATACAGGTTGAATCCAAAGAAACTAGTATTAGCCCGGAATTGTACTGAAACCAAAGTAATGAATGATGCAAGCAAATGTAATACAATTTTTTCAGAGTTCTTTATCCTGGGAATAAACCACTGATAACTTTATTTTTATTACAATACAATTGTATAGGTTAGTTATCAAAAGCGGAGCCTATGTGGAGACAAGAAGAAGATTTGAAAGCGTAAAGATATTTTTATTATTCGAAAGTCCGTAAGTCTATCACCAAGACTCAGACTCTGTAAATAATTTTTCAATGTATATACTGAATTATAAACTACGCATTTTCACAATAATAAATTATATAAATAATATAAACAAAATAAATGCTCGAAATATAATAAACTAAATAAATAATTAAATTTGACATAATTGATATAATTACATGTATGCTATGTATGTATTCACTATATTTACCGCAGAATGATTTTTAGCATCAATGTTGATCGTCAGACATTAATATCGAATATAATAAATTCAGATTAAATCTGGTTTCAAATTTTTGAAAATAAATAAATCCGGATATAAAAAATAAATACTAGTTACTCTATATTATATAGTTATAAGAATGCTAACCTAAACTACTAAAAATTATTTTCGGTTAAATAAAACTAGTTTTGGTAGTTTCAGCTATTAACTAAACTAGTTTTAACACTTAACTAATAAACATATTTTAATAAAAATTTTTTTATTGCAGATTAAAAACATCTAGTCTTTGCAATTCTAGAAATATAATATAATTTTGACATTGTAATAAATTACACTATATTAAATTAATTGAATTGTTAATTTTAAAACAATAGTTAATTACCTTCAGGAATTAATAATCATTTTGATCTTCTGGATGAAGATTTGAGTTATTACATATTTCATCATCATCTAATGATAAAATTATTAGATAAGTTCGTAATAAGTAATTAAATTTATCAATTTCTTACCATCATTCGCCAAATAATTTTTTTGCCTATAATGCGTTCCAATTTCATCATTTGTATAATTAATTACTAAATTAAAAAATTCATAGTTAGATGATATTAAGAATTAAACAAACTTTACAAATAATTACCTTTGTCATTCTTCATTTAATTTTGAATATAATAAAAAAATTTAATAGCTTACCTTTAGTGGCATTTATTGGTTCAGGTAAATCTTTAAAAGCGTATAATTAACTAAAATTTTTACTAACGAACTAATAGATTTAGAATTTATATTTGATTTGGCATTTAAATGAGCACTATTAAAATTAGTGTTTTGTTCTTTATTTTCATTTTGATAATACGATTTTTTTATTTCAAAAATTTTATTAGTTAGGGTAAAAATTTCGGGTCTTTTTAAAGGATCAGCATCCCAACATTGTACCATTATATTTTTATATTCTGTTGGAGTCCCTGGTACAATTGGTGGTCTCATTCCTTTTATTATATTCATTGCAAGATCATAATCATGATCAAAATGAGCAAAAGGCGGTCTTCCAGATGAGATCTCCACATAAGCATACCAAGGCTATAAATATCCGATGCAAAAGTATATCTTTTTCTAACTATAACTTCAGGTGCTACATAAGGAAGATTTCCATAAATACACCCTAATGGTTTATTCGCGGGGCCACAAAATCCAAAATCACTAATGTTCCAACCATTATATTTATCAAATAATATATTTCCTGAATGCAGGTCTCTATGAATAGAATCTTCATGATGAAGGCATAAAACTGCATATATTATATTTACAAGTTAATTTTTTGTTTCATTGTAAGTTGATTATAATTTTGTTGTAAATATTTTCTTAAATCTATATCGTATAAAACCATTACAAGAAAATAATTTTTATTTTGTGGATCTTGAGTAAGACCATAACTGAGAGCACAAGTTCCATATTTACTGCTTAATATTAATTGAGATTCAGCCTATGAATGAGAATTCTATTAATTATTTTCTATCTATTTCTTTTTATAAAAATGTCAATTATTAATATATTACATTAAATTACATACCTCTTCAAACCAACTTCTATTAGCACTTTCGAAATTTCCTAATCTTTTAAGTATTACTTTTAGGCTTCCATATCTTATTAGATGTTTTCTGATAGAATCCCATTTGTTATAACATTTATCATTCCAAACTGCTGTATAAATTTCACCTTTAGTTAGATACACAATATTTCGTAAATCATTATATGGTATCCACTCAATTATTCTAAAAGGTTGAATTGCTTCCATTTGACATTTCTTTATTAAATTATCAATTTCATCATTTCCAGATGTCCATTCTGAGATTTTTGCTTTTAAATAATCGAATACAATGCTCGCAATATGATGTTGCTAAACATTCATTTTTGCAATTTTCACAAACTCTTTTCATTCCTTGTTTTGAAGTAATTTTATTATATTCATAACGGTCATTTAATAATCGTATTGCCTCTGATTTTTCCTCATTTGTGAGAGATTCGTCAGCGTAAATTGTTTGTTGTGTAAATTCATTCTCTTGGTCTATGTCAGCTTTAGGATCAGATAATGCGAATGCTCTAATATGTGCTTCCATAATTAATTCTCTACGAATCGAGGCCACAATGTATTCAAAACAAAAATAGTTTACCTCCATGCTTTTATTCCAATATAATATGATCGACATTTGTTTTAGTAATCGGAGTAAAATGCAAATCTTCAGAAACACATGAATTAAATGTATTTGTGTCATTTAATTCTACTGATCCTTCTAAATTTAGTTAAAAACTTCTTGGCGCAATTTCCGAATCAGTATAAAGACTTTCAACAGACTGCACCTTTCCTTAACTAACCTTAAAAAAAAAATGTCCGAGAAATGTTTGCAAGAAGTTTCTAATGATTATGAAAGGTTACTCGAAATTGACGAAGGATATGATGTCATTATACATGCCGGTGAAAATGAAAGCGTTAAAGAATTTCATGCTTTTTCAAATATTTTACGTATAAGGTCGCAATATCTTCGTAATGAACTAACTAAAGAAAATGTTGAGAAAAGGGATGGAAAATTCATTTTAAAAGTACCCAATATTTCTCCACATTTTTTTAAAATTATCTTAAGGTAAGGTAAATAAAGTGAGTTAGAATGTACGTACATCAATTACGAAAATAATACAAATCAAAATTTTTTTTTTAAATTCAGATTTATTTATTGTGGAAAAATTGACTCAACGAAATTGGAAGGGCCAGAATTATTAAAGCTTTTAGTAGCAGCAGATGTTATTAACCTTCATACTTTAGTTTCCATTATTGAAGAAGATTTAATTAATGATCATCACGAGTTTTTACAGCAAAATCCTTTAGAAACTCTTGAAATAATTTATCAACACGAGACCCTTGAAAAATTATGGAATTTTTATCTTGAAAAAATCTGTGATGATCCCGAAGCGTTGTTTAATTCTGATAAATTTATCGGTATAAAATCACCTTTATTGGAATTACTTTTGAAACGGGATGATCTATGTTTAGAAGAAATTAATATTTGGGATTGTTTAATTAAGTGGGGCTACGCTCAGAATCCGTCTGTTCCTTAAGATGTCAAAAAATGGAGCAAAGAAGAAACTACAATCATGGAAAGAACTCTTCATAGATGTATCCCTTTAGTTAGATTTCAATATATATCATCAGATGATTTTCTTGAAAAAGTACTTCCCTTTAGAGAATTACTACCAAAAGATACGTTTGAAGCCTCCTTAGCACTTTATTTGTCAACAAACAAGAAATTAAATATCGAGATACAACCGCCTAGACTACCCAGAAATGCTTATGATTCAACCTTAGTTAAATCTCGACATTTTGCTATATTTTCGAGTTGGATTGATAAAAAAGGCATTTTAAACTACTATACTATCAAGAACTTACCTTATAGCTTTAATTTACTTTATCGTGCCAGTAAGGATGATTCGTCAACAGCAATATTTCATCAAAGATGTGATAATAAGGGAGCTAATATCGTTGTAATTAAAATTGACGGAACGGAAGAAATTGTTGGAGGATATAACCCGCTTGAGTGGGATTCGAGCTCTCTATGGAAAAAAACCGCAGATAGTTTTATATTTTCATTTAAAAATGAAACGGACTTTCTAACTGGAAAAGTTGGTTATAGTGATGGAATTCGTAATACTATAGGTTATTTTACAGATTATGGACCCTTATTCGGTAATGATTTACAACTTGGTAACAATAGCAAAGGATCAAGCAGACAATATGCTTTTCCCAAAGTTGATGGTATACCTGCGAGCTTTAAAGTGTACGATTACGAAGTATTTCAAGTAATTAAAAAATAAAAACCATATACAAAATGTAATTCTAGCTCAAAACATCACTATATTAATAAAAGATTGTTTGTTGGATTGGTTGTCTAAATCCAATTTCAAATTAGTATATGTATTCTTTAAAATAAAACAAAATCATTTAATAATTCTCTTACAATGAAAGTAATTATAAATGGAGCCAGTAATTCAATAACGGTTAAACATTTAATTCCGGCCGAAATTAAGTTTCAGCCAAAATTATGATTATTATTTTTGACAAAATTTTCGATAACTATAATGCTGGCTAATGTTAAATACTGTATTTTTAAATTTTTAAATAATAAAAATATTTTGGAGATTTAATAATAACCGAAGAGGAGGTCGTACTAAAAGTAATTATACTCAATGATTGGAATTAGAAATTTAGGGAAATAAAATTTAAAGCTGTCATTTCATCTAAACGATGAGCTAAAATAATTCGTGTGCACCCGATCACTCAAAAAGTTATCCGATGAAAATTACGTAACCATATTAAATATAAAACTAGGCCTGAAACTCTGGATTGTGATGTCGACATATATTAACAAAACTATATCTAACAAATTTACTATTGAAGATTTTTTCGTAATTAAGCTTTGATTACTATTGTTAAATTAATTTAAAAGTATATCCTTACTAAATCGATGTATTTAATAAATTTTAATCCTACTTAATTATTTTCTTCCAAATTCTGCAAAAATGTCCCAAATAATTGCCTCTTTATGTAATAGAAAGCTTTTTTTAAAAAAAAATTTTCCAATTCAAACATGAATAAAGTAATACTTCGTGCACAGCATCTAAAGAAAAAAAAAATTTTTTTTCCTTTGGATTTATTCAAAATACGTTCTATTAAATGTTTCTTAAAGCTATCATGTTTATGGCATTACGATTGTTTATAATGTGTAAGTTATTAAATTTTAAAGATTTCTGATACTGAAGAGAAATTACCTTCTATATCAGCTCAAAGAATGAATATAATCAATCAACAATTAAAAAATCTCTATAATAATATTTTTTACGAGACTATACATAGTATTCATTTGATTGATTGACCGCTCACCCCACTGATTCACGTCCAAAGCTAAATCAAAACAAGTATTTGTTTTTTGTTTAAATAACTATATAAATACTTTATTAACAAAATAAAACAACTATTTTTTTAAGGTTTTTTAATAAGCACCATGTATGACAGACGGACAATTATCGATATGGCCTCAAAGTCGTGAGAATTCACGTGCGTTACTTTCATCAAAGCGTGTCTAGAAAGTAAATTCCTTTGACACGCTTCAGACAATTAAGCATTTTGAAATTTTTCGATAATTAATCTTAACAGCATATCATATATGCAGTAGAAAGGGAGGAAATTCTAAAATATTTTTTTTTGAGTTAATGTTAAATCTGGACTTATTAATTTTTTTGTAGTTTCCGTCCTTTCTACTGCAATGCTCCTATTAAACATGTTATGTCGATTGTAGTTCTTTTGTTACTTGGCTATAATAGAGCGCCTTTCGGATTTTATTAACGGAGCAAATTGAGCTGTCCCAGTACGGAAATATCGTAACTCTATCTACATGTAAGTCTAAAATCATTTAATCACACAGCCATATATTGTAAATAATGAAGTTGTTAGTTTTAATAATGGTAAGATTTAATTAATTTATCAGTTAACAAACATTAATATCATAGTGATTAACAATATATCCTAAATATTTCGTAGACAAATAAATGTAAAAAGACTAAATTATGACAAATGTCTATCCAAAATATCCAGATTTTTAGAAATCAATCGATTTATTTTTACTTTATTCTTTTATATTTACATTGTAGAAAAACAAAAATATATATCTACAAAAATATATATTATTATGTATATACATGTACACTTATAATAAAACATGCATTCTCTATTTTAAAAATCAATCGGAACCACATTTCTTTATTATTATGTTAAAGAGAAAATGCCAACGGTAGTTAAAAAGGTAATTATTAGCTGGTTAATTTTAACGGTTACCAAGTCATTAGTAAATGAGAGAAAGAAAATGTTTTAATATTCTTAGTTATAGCACAGAATATTTATCAATAATAATATCATCTGTTGCAAGTAAAAACCGATTTGATGATGCAAGTTATAAAATTTCTAATAATGTACGTGCCTTTGTTCAAATTTAGTTTATTAAAATGTTATTTATCAAACGTAATAAATCATCTTACATGACTAATAAATTTATTTTTAAATCGATGATTAAAAATCGTTACACAGCAGTAAACATTTTTAACCAATAATAAATTGTGCTAAATTTAAATATCGAATTATCAAATACTTATGGTATATAAATAAACTTTTTTTAATCTTCCAATTCAAAAACGTTAAGCTTTTGATTAGTTAATAATAGAAAATTGGCTTTTTTTAAAATTTTTTTTTAAAAAAAAAGCCTTTACAATGCTGATGTACGAATCTCCCTTACCGTTTATTTTTAAACCAACTTTTAATAGAAATTAATTATTTGATAAGCTGAGGTTTTAAAGAATTCTTATTGGATCAACTTTATTCACCCGAAAAAAATCACAAATGCAACCGACGATCCAATGAAATGATCGGGTAGATCTTTTTTTAAAGTTACCGAATTGGCTAGAGCATTTATGGAAAACAATGACTAATTCATACATATGGGAAAAGGTTAATCCGAGGGCTGAAATTTGAAAAAAAAATTAAAATAAAAAACATTTTGCGGAAATAATTTTCAATGCAAAACAAAAATAATAAATTTCTTTAATAGATTGGGATTTAGATTAATAAGTTTAATCGCAACAATGGTTATCAATGATAATCTAGAAAGCGCCCTAAAAGAATTAAAAGACAAACATATTCAAGAATTACAAGTCATAGAGAAAAGAATAAAAGAATTAGAGAAAAGTAACGAAGAATTATTTAGGTTGTTTTCACAATTCAAATCTATGGATGAAATGGTTAGAGAACGAGAAGAGGAAACCAAAGCCAAACAAGTAACTATTAACGGTTTGAAAGAAAAGGTTAGACAACGAGAAGAGGAAACCAAAGCCAAACAACAAATTATTAATGATTTGGAAGAAAGGATTAGTAATTTAGAATTAATTATTTATGATGATAATATTGAAAGTTTAACCATTAATGATACTAATGAGGATATATTAACCACTTCAGGAGGATTGCAAAGATATCGAAAATTGTCAAAATTTTCCTGTTATAATATTCAGATAACAAGCTTACCAAATTTACCTAACAACTTAACAACTCTTAATTGCTCACGTACAACAATAAATAGCTTACCAACGTTACCGAACTCTTTAACAAACCTTTATTGTTATGACACACCAATAACTAGCTTACCCGTTTTGTCTAAATCCCTAACGATTCTTGAATGCTTTAATACTCAAATATCTAGTTTACCAATTTTACCCAACTCTTTAACAACTCTCAATTGCAAAAATACCAAAATAACTAGTTTACCATCTTTACCCGACTCCTTATCAGAACTCTATTGTTCCAATACTGAAATAACTTGCCTACCAGTTTTACCTAATTCCTTAACAAATCTCTATTGTTATAATACTAAAATAATAAGCTTACCAATTTTACCTAGAACTTTAACAACTCTCCGGTGCGAAAATACTCAGATAAATAGCTTACCAACTTTGCCAAACAAATTATCAGAACTTCATTGTTATAATACTGGAATAACAAGCTTACCAACTTTACCGACCACCTTATCAGGACTCTATTGTTATAATACCAAGATAACAAGCTTACCAACTTTACCAAATTCCTTAAAGTATTTAAACTGCGAAAATACTCGGATTACCAGCTTACCAAATTTTCCTTATTCCTTAACAAATATCTATCCTGAATTCTTAAAATCTTAATTACAATAATCAGAAAATATTTATAAAAGCAAGTAATTTTGAGTATTTGTTTGAAAATTGTTTAGTTGATTTAAATATTTTTTATCATTAATTTTTAAATTACGAATACTCAAATCAATTACTTTAAAACAATATTAAATGAAAATAATTACTTTATAAATTAATTAATAATAATTAAATTAGTACTTTTCATATAAAAAATTATTCAAAATAACAAGATAAAAATTGAATAATTTTTATTTAAATTTAATTATAAATTTCATGTAAAATTTTACATAAAAACATATAATAATATTATAATAAATATAATATATTTATTATAAAATTTATATGATTTTTTCATAAATGTATAATTTATAAATACAATACTTAAATTTAATAATATGTATTATTTTTAAAAAATTTTAATTATAAAAAAGAATAAAAATATTAATATTTTATTAAAACAATCATAAAATCGTTAAATTCTTTAAATTTTAAATTAATATAAAGTTACTAATCAATAAAAATATTTTTGAGAATTTACTTAAAAAATATTATAAAATTTTATTAAAAATGTTAATGTTTAATAAATAATTTTAATATAACTTTAATTTACAAGTAAAATTACATTTATATTTAAATAAAAAACTATTAGAAATAATAAATTGACTTTCAAAAAGGTAGTAAAATTTATTTAAAATCAATGGTATAATATATTTAATTTAATTATTAAATTTAATTTATATTTTAAATATTATATATAAAACTTTTAAAAAAAATTAATCAAATGTTACTAGTAATAATAATTCAATTCATTAATATTTAAAAAAATTAATCAAATATTACTAGTAATAATAATCCAATTTATTAATATTTAAAGTATCAATTTAGAAAATAGTTAGTCCAATTACTGCAGTCATTTGCCAAAAAAAATTTGTATATTAGTTATAGGAGAATTTAACTAATACAAATATCATTCAATAAATAATTCATATTAATAATTAATATTTATATAGATAAATAACAAATCAGCTATAAATTGACATTTAAAATCCTAAAATCGGCCAGCTTAAATTACTTAAAAACAATTAATATTTAACTTATAAATTACTTAAAATTAACTAAATAATTATTGATATAATCATTATTAATAATTCTAAATTTATATTTATTTAAAATTTATCGAAATTCATTTATAATTACTCAAAAAAAATATTATCCCTTTAATGATTTTCCTTTCTAATTTGGAAGGAATTTTACTTACACTTTAAAGTTAATTTTAAATATATTAAAAATTTGTTATTAAACTAATAATATTATTATAATAAAATTTATAATGTTTTTTAAGTAAAATCAAAAAAAAAATTACATTACTTAGTAATTTTTTGCATTAATTTAAGTTCAAAATTTTAAAAATAAATTAATAAAAGTATTTTCTTTATAAAAGCTAAAAGCTAAAATTTTTAATTTTTATTTATTTTTATAATCTTAAAAAAACTACAAAATATATAATTTATATTTAAAACATTTATTTATATATTTAAATATTATTTATTTATAGAAAATTCATAAATTTAAAGTTGAAAATTTTGTATATATTTAATATATTAATTATTAAAAATTGAAATTTTATTTAAAAATAATAGATTTATAATAAATTTTATAATATATTTTAACTAAAAATTAAAAAAAAATTGCAAGTTTTTATGTAGAATTTTGCATAATAATTGATTAAAAATCAAAACAAAATTTGAATAAAATCATTACCATTTAAGGAATAATATTTATTACATAATTTATACATAAAAAGATGGTAATTTTTTTTTATTTTTTACTTTTTTATCTATTATTATCAAAAAAAAATGTATATATAAAAAATAAAAAAAGAATAATAAAAAAAAAAACTATTTTAGATGTTATTCAAAAATGAAATGATAAAAAATGTTATTTGTTTCTAATAAAGTTAACTCAATTTCTATATTCAAATATTTGTTAAAAAAAAAAATAAATTGTAGATAATATAGATAATATAGTATTTTAATATTTAAAATTAATAATTGATTTATTAAATAATATTGCTTTAAAATTAACTTTTTTTTTAAATATTTATTATTAAAATTTTAATAGCTTATTTTTAAAAAAATTTTATAATAATATTTAATTAACTTAGTTAAAAATGCTTATTTAAATCTCTTCAAATTTCTACAAATAGTTTCAATGAAATTTTTATAAGTATTTAATATAGTTTTATTATAATTTTTTAGTTTTAACATTTACTAAATAATTTCATTATTTCAGTATTTTATCATAGTTTCAAAATAAGTAATTATAAGATTTTAATATAATTTAGCAAAGTTTTAATTTTTAGCTTTTGAAAAGTAAAAAAATCCTCTAGTTTTTTCAGTAATCTTAAATATAATATAATAATATCAGTATATAAAATTTTTGTAATATAATAAAAATTTAATATACTGATATTTTTTCAAAGTATCGCTTCATTAATTGATTAGACTCAATATTATTTTTAGTGCAATTTTTATTAGCTAAGTATGTTTATTGTGATATAACTATTTTTTTGATCATCAATTACTCAAAATCAATTTACTAGTCTTGTAACCCATTTTTAATAAATCAACTCCCATATATATATTATTACTGGAAATAATTTTCTTATTATATGTATTTTGCTAAGTTACTTTATAATGGTAAGTAAGTTCCTTATTATTAGACTTTATAATCTTAGGGGATCTCATATCTTACAAGTATCTAGAATACCTTATATTTATATTTTATTTAGTTTGATTATTTTGGCTATTTAATTATTATATAATATTTTTTATATTAGCTATTTTATTATTTTATTATAATGATTTAGATATGTGAATTTGATTATTTGACTATTTTATTTTATTTAGTTTGATTATTTTAGATGTTTTAATTATTATAATTATATTTTCTATTTTAATTAACTATTTTGTTTTTTGATTATTTAGTTATTTGGCTTTTATTTATCTAGTTTTATTATTTTGGTTAATTAATTATTATGATTTTATTTCCCATTTTAGTTAACTATTTTGCTTATTTGACTATTTAAATATTCGGTTCTTATTATATCTAGTTTAATTATTTTGGTTATTTATTATTATGTAAATATTTCCTATTTTAGCTATTTAATTATTTTGATCTTTTAGTTAGTTTCCAATTTTATTTATTTAATTTATTCGACAATTTCCTCTATTTTAGCACTACAATTATTTTAAATTTTAGATATATAAATGCAAAATTTCTTTTATTTATTCTAAAAATTTTAAATAAAACAAATATTAAATACATATATTAATTGCAATTAAACAAATATAAATCCAGAAACATTTGAATTACTTTATAAAAATTTAATTAATTTTATTTATTATTATAATAAATTTATTTAATAGGAAGATAAAAAACTTTATTAATTTTTGGCTAATAAGCTGCTTTTAATAATAATGAGAATGAAATTTCTGCTGGTATTATGGCTTCTTATATATAAATAATAATAATAATTTAAATAATATTATTATGCAAAATAAAGAAAATTTAATAAAATTAGAAAATATTTTAAAAAGTCGACAAAGTTATAATCAGGTAATTATATTTAATTAATTTCTTTTATAATAGTTTTCACTTGATTGGATATATGAAAATTATAACATATCAAATTTAATTGAAAATTCTGCAAAAAAAATATCTGGAAAATCAAAGTATATATTATTATATTTAATTTATTATTTATTATAAATAAATACTAATTATTTTAAATTTTTAGTTCAGGACATTATTATATTTTATGTTTAGATTCAAGTATTTGCGATTTATCATGATAATTATTAAGTTATAATTCTTATGATATAAATGCAGCAATATATGAAGATTTATTTATTTTAACAAATATATTTTCAATTAATAAAATTAATATAAAATATATTCATAAACAAATACAAAATATTAATAATAATTTCAAAATTATTAAGCCAACAAA